TTAAATTATCATTTAAATTATTTGAATCAAATGCAAATCAGTTGCTACGCGATATCGATTCAACAGCTTAGAGCCACAGGCGACCGATATTTTTCCACACGTTCCATTTTTTCATATCATTAATCTAGCATTTCAGTTCATTGAATATGCGAACATGCGCGCGTGCAATAAGATAGACATGAGGCTGATAGTCGCTTAAGTACAGCTTATAAATAATTTATTACTTTCCGGCATCTTTGACTTTTTGAATTTTGCGCGCGGACGCAACCAGATGTTTATGCCGTCTCTCTCTCTCTCTCTCTCTCTCTTTCTATCTCTTCCTTTCTTTCCGTATCTTTCAAATTTCTATTCTCAAAGCTTGCAGTCGTATTCAAGCCGGTAAATTGAATAGCTCACAGTCACTGCCGTAAACGGTCCTCCTTACCTCGAAGTAGCAAACAAACGCGCGGAGCCAGGAGGCCTGTAAAGCATGACGGGATCTTGTCAACCGCCGTACATGATTATGGCGAGCGAGCATGAATAATGGAATGCATAATTTATCGGTTTCACGGCGAAAGAGAGACCGGTGCCCCAAGAAGGGGTGCGGGAGGAAGCGACACGAAGAAAAGGAGGAGAACACCGGTCAAGAGATAGAGAGAGATAGGTATAAATATATCGTAGTTGCGACTATGTGCGCGCGCATTATTATAGATCCTTTAATAAGTCGCTGCAGCTTCCGACGCTCAAATAAATCAGACAATCTCGATAAGGATAACCCGTTGTCTCTCTCCTCGCGGGCGCTTCGACGTACACACATACATATAGTTAACGCAGAGACTATGCAATCTGGACGTTAATGCGATAACTGGGACTTCGCGAAGGATTAATTGATGAATCACGTATGTGCCCGGTTATCGCGTTTTCTGCCATCGTCGCAGGAATGTGTCCTTGGGCACGTTCCGGCGGATAGTGCACGTCGGTATGCGCCAATAAAGGAAAAACGAAACTCCTACGGAGTTTAAATACAATGCAACAAGTTACACATATCGTATATACGAATATATACAGTGTTCCGTAAATAACGATTCCGTAATAACGAATTTTTGATTGATGATCAGTAAACGAAAAAATTTTTTGTTGTCGGAATGCGTTATCGAAGAAAACAAGATTATTTTTGAGATTAAATGCCCAACTCGATCGTTTTTAAATCCCACGCGACAGATTTCCGGTCACTCTAGAACAGCAAGAGAACGTTGTTTTTTTTTTTTCTAAGATACATGTGAATTCAACACGAGAGAACAATAATCTTGAAGAAAAATGACAAGAATGTCAGTGTCTCGTGTGAAAATGTTTTTTTTTTCTTTTCAATTTTATCTCAAAAGGAATTGCTGACTTTTTAGCAGCAGGAAACACGGCATAATGTTTCGTCATTCTGCTGTAGTGGACACTTTTTTTTGTTGGCGTTATGAATGGACCTGACCGTGTATAGTTTGCTTCTCTCAGTGAGCATGAGGGAAAAGAGGACGAGAATGCAGTTCACGCATTGGGAATTTCGAGAAGTTACACACGTATGTACAAGTAGATGATGCATATCGGAACTTGTTATACTCATACTCCATTTTTAGACCCCGATCGCAAGTATGTCGCAATATATCGCTTTCGTAATAAGTAAAAACTGTGTGTGAAGTCCCACGTGCCGCATACTTACTCTCTTTCTCTTTCTTTTACTTTCTTGCGCGTGCATCTTCGTCCCGTCTTACGTATCCGGTTGTGTGGTCGGGAAGATTCCGAGAGGTAGAGGTGATTCATCGCGCCATGTCTCTGGTTGTTGTTTTTTTTTTCTTTTTTTTTCGTTCCCCATTTATTTTACTTTACCGATTGGTAACCACGTTTTGGTGCGCGTCACGAAATTCACTCAACGCGGAAATCACAGAAGAAACATCAATATTTTCTTAATTAAACGAAATGTATATTAATGTCTCTTGAGTCTTTTTTTTTTTTTTACGCTCCAACTATTTAAACGTCGAAATTATTAACTGACCGCGCAATATTTTGCACAGAGTGTATTTCGAGTGTGCGACCGTTCGCGTCGATACTCCAAAACGCGATAATTATTAACTTCACGTTCAAACTGTATATTTAGCGCGAGAAGACAACTATTCCGAGCTTATGGCGCGTCGACGAGGAAGTAATATTTCTAATGACGTTACTGGGGCTTGTGTGCGATGTGCGTATGTGCGCGCGCTAAGTTTCGTTACAAGATACACGGTCAGTATATTAAATGTAGACATTAGTCAGAGTTAATGTTTATCGACCAGAGAGATGGAGAAAGAAACGAGGGATGTCAAACGCGGATGTCTTAATTGGGCCATAATTCATCTGCGCAATCTTTCTCGCAACGAAGTGACGCTTGTGTCCTTTCTTTTTCGGACACGCGCGTGCATTTCTTCTCGCGCTCGTTTGTACGACGATTCCGACGTTTTACGCGAAACTTCGCGTGACGAATAGATAAAAAGACTTTCCGTGAAATGCAAAAAAAAAAAAAAAAAAAAAAAAAAACAAACTAATACACGGACGGTTGCGAGAACGAATCGCGAGACAAATCCTCTGCGATATAAAGTCATCGTAATTCTACGGGAACGTCGCCGAGGATATCCGATGCCGAATAATCAATAAGCGTGCACGCGTCCTATTGTCCGAAACGCTCCTCGGAATTTCCATTTCCCTGAGAGTGACATTCACTCGCTAAAAGAACGTCTCGTCGATTCGGCGCCGAGCTCAGCAGAGAGATAGAGAGATAGAGAGAGAGAGAGAGAGAGGAGACTGGCTGTCGGCACAAGAGCGTCAGTTAGCCCCAACGTGGTTAGAATCGTGTGTTCGCAGTACCTACATCTACGTTTCCTGCCGGTCCTTCCGGTGTGAGTTTAACCGTTGTATAAAAAAAAACAGGCGTCTGCTTTGTCCGGCCGTCCGTTCGTTTTCATGACCGAGAGAGCCCGATCGCGCAGCCGAGGTCGCAGCTTCTGTCGAGGTGTCGGGAGAGAGAAAGAAAGAGAAAAAGAGAGAGAAAGAGTGAGAGAGAGAGAGAGAGAGGGAAAGAGAGGAAGGGAGAGAGAAATTCCCGGTAACTTTCCCTCCTACGCGTTGAACAGCCTGGAGGAGCGAGACAAGCGAGAGGAGGAGGACATGCGGGACGTATGATCGCTAGCGATGAGATCAAGCATAATTTTTCACTAGTTACGATTTTAATCGCTGATAACGTTTCCTACGTGTTTCTCCGCCCCGGCGGTAACGTCGTATCTCAAGTTGAAGATCGTACGTCGAGCTCGAAATGCGTCACTCGTCTCTTTTCGAAGACTACGACAAATAGCACGCTCGACTCGAGGCCACATACCTTCCGCGAAACTCATAATTAGTATACAGAGATACGAATGTATACTGGCGAACACATGTTGCGATAATCCCCTCTTCCCGCAAGATTGTTACAATGTTCTCTCTCTCTCTCTCTCTCTCTCTCTTGTTCGAACTGATGACATTCCCGGAGTGGAGGAAATCAATGGATAAAAAAATTCAGAAAGATATGAAATATTGTCCACAAGTTTGACGCAAACAAAAAATTACTCGGGTCGTTACTCTCCGGATGTTCGCCGAGAGTGTAAAATCGAGTAACGTGTCTGCATTATCGTAAATAATGAAGCCAATCGTCATTGTTTTCTTAAGTATCTATCGGATACTCGAGGATCCTCGTGAATGCTAATCTAAATGTCCACAAGCTATATTTACCTCGATTATTTACCTCGATATTCTGCCTTAGCCACACACGAGTTTAATCTATCAAGGAATGAGATCGTAAATTCTACAATGGGACTCCAATCGTGGCGAAATTCATATTTCAAGATGCTAACAGAGCGTGTCATAAATTTTTCCCTTCGTTCTGTTGCTTCGTCATATTTGTTTTGCTTTGAGAGTTTCGCAGTTTCGTCATATTTAGTTCCCTTTGTTCTTAAAGTTCATGGAAAGTGCTCAATAACACACATACACGTAGTTAGCCCGATTGGCAACTCAGCAGTCAGCGCGATTGAGAAGAATTGGATCGGGCCCCCAACGCTAACTATATACCGGGCCTTGTGCGAGCCTTTCTAATCCATTGGGAGCGAGTTGATGTTTTCGCACCAGCTAGTAGATGTTAACGGACGTGTTGCCTAGCAGAAGGGGCAAGGACGGCCGAGGCCGACCGAGGCTTGCTCCCGCCCTCCTACCCCTGCCTCTCTTACATGGGAGGAAGTCGTCGAGTCTGGAGAAAGAAAGAGAGGAGAAACCACCGATCTTGCGGAGCGGACTAAGCAGCAACGACCGCGCGTGTTGGTGAGTCGACGCGCCGCGCGTGGTACAAGGATGTGTGCGTGTCTGCTGTGAGCGTGGTTGTTGCCACGATGCCACCGACACCGGATCTCGAGGAGTCGTGCGAGTTAGGAGCAACGTGGGATTTTGTGAAGCGTTGCGTCGGGCGATGGAATTTCGTCCTTCTCGATGCAAAGAAAGGACCGCGCGTCGAGACATTTTTTCGAGAGAGAGAGAGAAAGAGAGAGAGAAGAGACGAGGTGCTTCGTAAATCTCGAAATGAAGTTAAATGCCTGCATGTCTGAGGTTTCTCAGACTCTGTTTCTTTTTATTTGAATACTGTAATGATACTTCATATTATTTGCGAAAAGAATGCAACGCAGGTATTCGATGCCTCTCGATGAGTTATGCAGACACTCACCTGAAGTGTGTACCGCACAAAGGTCTTGGAGCTTCAGGCTTCAGCGAATTTGAAATGGAATTTAAATAACTCGATGATTGTATATATGTACATACACGTGTACATATAACATGTACATATGTATACACATATATACACATATGTAAAAAAATGTAGTATTTATAAAATTCTGTTTTTTTTTTTTTTTTTTTTTTACATCAAGTCTTGCAGTTCTGAAAGTAAGCAAATAACAAATGGCGAGCATGTTTATCGCGCGGGGATACACGTATGCGCAGGTGCACTCCGTTGTCGATGTGTGTGCAAACACGTTTGCGGAATGCATAATTTATCCAATTTAAATTATATCGCGGCGTTTCTTTTAAGTAATCGTTTTTATTTCGAGACACTGACACAAGATTCGTTTGCGTTGAATCAATTAATTATGTTCAATTAATCGCCGCGGTTTTATTAAGAGAATGCTCTAATTAACGTGAAATTCGACGAAAATAAATTCCATTCGTTATTTTCTGCCTTCTTGTTTTTTTCCGACGTTCAACTTATTGTTGAATCCGGAATCTTATGCGTCTTGGTTCGCAAAGCTAGTGTTTCACTTTGGGGCAAGCGTTCTCCCTGACGCAAATGCCATTGTAATCATCCCGCACGTATCCCTTCTCACAGACGCAACCGCGAACGCAGACCTTCGCCCTTGCGCAGGCCATCGTTTTCCACTGCCCCATATTGCCGCAAGTTTTCTGACAAGTCGGAATACCGGCGCACTCGCTGTACTTCTCGTGTTTTTCACACTCGCCGCCGGAAAGAAACTCGTCAAATTCCTGATAGACCGGATAATTTACATCTAGAAAGTCAAAACTCTTTGCAATATCGCGTGAACATTAAATTAAGAGAGAAAAACCGTTATATTATAACGATTCCAGATCTCTCGTTCGAATTCCAAAGCGCAAATTTGCAAACAAAACGTAAAATTCAAACTTACTTTCTCCGGCTTCGAGTGACGCGTCGACCGAATTGGCGGAACAATGAGCGCAGGAAAAAACGGCGACGGCAAACAATACGAATTGCGACCTGACCAACTTCATCGTGCTCGATACGTGGTAAGAAAATGTGCGAAAAATGCGCGCATCGTCGGACTTTAAATATTCACCCCGGGGGGAGATTTATCAAATCGGAGCGGCCGTATCGCAACCGCGCAACCAGTTTTCTACGTACGCAGCAGATACCGCAGCGTAAATAAATCGCGGCTAAAGGGTTGCTAAAGATACGCTTGAACAGGAAGAGAGGAAAGATACATGCTGATTTATGTAAACGGGAAAATTGCCATGAGAAGAATAATCTTACAGTTCCGTGTTTATTTATATACGTACTTTTTAAATTGTACACAGCAACTCGTTTACATACAACATACACCTTAAATCTACTAATTATTCGGATTACAGTTTAATAGTCATTGTAATAATAAAGGACTTAATAACGTATCAGCGTTTCTCTAAGGACGACGCTTTTCAAACCCGAAGAGAAAATACTAGATCTATTCTTTGTGGACACATTTCTGCATTTTCACATTTTTCTCTCTCCAACACACACTGTTAACTACATACTTGGAATAATCTCTGCAGAAATTACGTAACACAGTCTCACAAAGAACAGACTTACCATTCACATCTCACTTTGGGTTTTGGTTTTTTTTTCATGTTTTTACCAAAGGTCTATTAGATAGAAATTACAAAAGAAAAACAATTTGTCTTATTAGATATTTGAATACGACCTGCTACGATAGTCTCTGTTCGATTTTACGTCACATCTTCGAGAAAAAAAACAAGGATGGATTTTTTTATTCACACTTGATTCGTATAGTGCTTTTACCTTTAATCCAAATGTTTTTCTTTTCTTGTGATGTAAAGATCGGTGTATACACTATTGTTGAATAACGGAGAAACAGGTGATTTCTACTTTTCCGATAAAGTATGATAATGAAAAGTCACACGTTAATAACTGTTTCAAAATTCGCGATCACAATCCCTCATTTTCAAACACTCGCAAACTATTCACAAAGTATTTGCTGCTTTAAAACTTTACACATGTATTTCAATAATAAATGATTGTTTTAGAATCAAGTATTAAATATCAACTCCCTTTGAGACAAAACTTAAAAATTACACGACAAATAATGAGAGATCGTAATTAACTCATTTGTTAACAGAGCTGAACAAAACCGATTTCTGGTTAAATTAGTCGTTTGGGTGGAACGTTATTGAAACATTTGATAAATGAAACAAATCAATTTTTGACAAACGAATTGAAGTGATCAGTATTACGACTACGAAGTGCATTTCACATTGATGCTACGACGATTGATAGAACGGACGATACCAGTTTCCAATACACACATTGCATGTATCATAAATCTTATGATTTTCCGCATTAAACGTTCTCTCGCTTTGCTGCTTTAAGCTTCAATGAAATACTCGTTGCCTTCCAAGTTATCGTCGATCGATTCTTCATTCTAGCAACAAATGAGAGTTAATTGCTTCTAGGTTAAGTTTTGTTTTGCACGTGTGTCTGATCATCACCATTATCATAGTCATCGTATAATCAACTCACTTTTTATCATTCGGATTATCATGATCTTCAAATAAATGAGCCGACCATTTTGTAGGCCGTAAACCTACTTACGCAGAGTTTAACAAACCTTATTACTCGCCGCATCACCTCCTTCTCCTTCACCTTCTGCCCATCTATCATAGTCGTCGTCATCCCTTTCCTCGCCTTCGCTCAAAGGTCCGGCTTGTCTCTTGTTAGGCGGCACGGTTGTGCTAGCGTTGCCACTCTGCTGATGCTCGACGTCGTCGCCACCTTCCAGCATCTTATTGATCTTTTCCTTCACCTCGTCAACCTTTCTCATCGGATCGGGAGAGTAGCTACGATCGCTATATCTGTCGCGTGATGACGCTCGACGATCTCTGAAGTCTCGTCTGTCGCGGAAATCGCGGAATCCTTGCTTATTATGGAAGAATCTACCTCCACGATTGCCACGACCGCCACGACCACCGCGATTGTTGAAGCCACCTCGACGATTTCCGAAGCGATTATTATGCTGATTGTTGTAGAAGCGATTACGATTTTGGAAATTGTTGTTGCCGCCGCGATGATTCGGATTATTATAACCTTGGAAACGAGGCTTGTAATAAGTACCACGATTGTTGTACGGTCGGAATTGTCTCTTGCGATAATAACCTCGATCACCAGATCTGCTGCGACTACGACTTCTTGATCTTGATGATCTGGTTCTTGATCGTGATCGAGATCTGCTGTATGTTCCTGATGGCGATCTGCTGTATTTTCTCTCATAATAGCTACCAGATCGTCGATTCGAATATGATCGTGAACGACTTCGTCTCGGCGAACGCGATCTAGAAGAGCCCGAGCTAGAAACACTACGAGATCGGCTACGAGAACGTTTTGCCGGACGATCCCTGCTCATACGTTTATTCACACCGCCCCTGCTGCTCGAATCGCGCTTCTTCGGCGTTTGTCGGTGACTTCTCTCGGTCTCACTCTCGGAATCGGTTCTCGGACCTTTAGCTTGACTTTGATTCTTCGTTGGCGGAGGACGCGGTGGTTCCGGCGGATGTCCGGTTGCACTGTTCTGACCGATAGGTTGAAACTTGCCACCCAGATTGTTTGAGCTAAATTTGGTCGGAGTGCTCTGCGAGACGGACATGGCAGGATCTTTATAAGACTGGAACTTATTCTGAGGCTGCGGCGTGGGATACTTGACCGGTGCTTGCTTCGGCATCGACGATTCTTTCGGTAGTGGCGGCGGTGGTGACGGCGCAGGCTGTGGCGGAGCTGCTCTTTTCTCAGCAAGTTCACGTTGCATTTGCTTCCGTATATTCAAAGACTTTTCAAGAGCCGCGCGTTGCAGTCTCTCCTCCAACTCGTTGTCATCGTCTTCTTCGCTATCCACAAAAACATTAGATTGCATCTTCTTGCTCTCCGGCTGGAGGTCTTGCCACTTTTGCGAAGGAACGTCTTTTTGCCTGAAATTTGTGCATTAACTCGCAAATAAGTAAAAAACCTTCGAGATTATAATGAACAATTTTACGAATGATGTTTGACTAACCTAGCAGCTTGTGCAGCCTTCCATTTGGCATTCAATGCAGCGGTGTCCAGGGTGGGGACCTTCGGTTCTGGATGAATCAGTTGGGACTCTTGCTCAAATATATCTGTCAATGGCTTCCTCTGAATTTCTGCTAAAATAATTATGATTATAATCTTAAACTACTTTGTTATAGACGCGCGCGCGGCGAAATATATAATGCGTAACATACTTATGGGTGTATCCTACTAATCGGAAATAACTTTAAAATTAACGACGTGATACTCGTATTTAACCTGAAATTCTGTCAAGGACAACTCAATATACGATTTGCATGTACCTTTTCTCTGTTGTGCGGTCATCGGCATTCTAGATTCTCGTTCGTGATAAGACTTTGAAGCTTCGTCTCTTTCTCTCTCTCTGCGCAGCTCCTCTTCCCTGCGTGAACTCTCAGCGAGCTTCTCCGCGTTGCTAAGAGGGGAAGGTATGTCATTATACTGTGCTACATACCTATCAAATATAAAAACATAAGTAAAATATATATGTATATAAGTAAAACGTCTGACGGACCACAATCCACATTTATTTGTGCAATCTGAGGACGTGAAAACAGCGTAAAAGAGAACAACATTTTATTGCAACACAACGCGAGATTAAAGTCAAACCTAAGTGCTAACTAAAACATATTCAAAAGAAACAAATATGATACTGAACTGATTATGAGAAAGTGTCAGCAAAGATTCCAACCTTTTCAGAGTTGCACAGTCTTTTTCAACCCTCGCGTAATAAGCACTAAGCTTAGATTCTAACTGTTCCAAATCCGGCAAAGATGACTTTTTCAATGCTTCTAAATCGCGTTCAAGCTTATCCTTGTTTTTACGCTTTTTCCGTTCCTCCTTCTTCTTCTTTTTTCGACTCTTCTTGTCCTCCTTTTCCTTTTCTTTTCCCTTCTTCTCTTTCTTCTTCTTCTTCTTCATTTTTTCGCTCTCAGAGTGTTTCTTTTCCTTTTCTCTTTCTCTCTTCCATCTCGCTGTTTCTTCTAAGAATTTTCTTACCTGTGTGCACAAGTATGTAAAAAACAAAATTGTTATATTAATTTTTATATTACATCTGAAGATGTAAATAGTATTTAAAAAAATCAATATATGAATCGAGAAGTTTTACTTGCCTTATCCTCGTAATCGGAATCGTCCTTGGTTTGTTCGAGAAATTTTCGCACTTTGATCTCGTAGTCATCCATTTTTTCGCGTGTATTTGCAGTATAAGACGCCGGCGCGATAGTATCGTGAGCAGTTGCAGCTGCTGCCGGGGGATTGTTATACTGAGCCATACGCTTACTAAGCGGCGAAAGCGAACTGCGATGATCTTTCTTGTGCTTGCGCTTTCGGTTTGGCGAACGAGATGCCGAACGCGAACTTCCGGATGATGAGGAGCTGCTTGAATCTGAGCTCGATGAACTTGAACTTCCACTGGACGAAGAACTGGAGCTAGAACTCCATCTTTGTCTTTTCTTCGATCTAGATTTTCTCTCCTTTTTGCGCTTCTTTTTGTCTTTCTTATTTTCTGCAACCTCGTTCTCGGTTTCGAAGCTCTTAAAGGTATCAAGAGGATTTAACGACGCCGTGAGCGTCTTGGATTTTATATACTCGATCGAATTTCGCGCCTCCTCATGATACGGAGCGATCGCCAAGCAATTTTCATATGCTTTCTGAGCTTCCTCATACTTCTTCTCGTCTTCGTAACTGCGGCCGAGCGCGACGAGCGTTTCCGCCATGTACTTACGAGCGTTCGCGTGTGTTTGATTAAGTTTCAAAGCTGTTTCAAAGTCGTCAATCGCTTTCTTGAAGTTTCCGCTGTTTGCGTATCTGTAACGAGTAGACAACAGAATATTAATCATCGGCGCGCACACCAGCGCCTTAAAAATACAAAACGTTCAATAGGAAACCTACAATGCTCCTCGAGCGACTAATCCCTCAACATTGCGAGGATCAATAGTGAGCGCCTTGTTGAGGCACTGGAAAGCTTCGGCATGGTGACCGGCTTTGAAATTATCTATACCCTCAGCAACGCTTCGGAACGCCCACTTGCTCGCTTGCGCTTGTCTCAATTCAGAAGCATACTCATTCGGAGGAAATCTCTCTCTGCAAATCAGTAAACAAAAAAAAATAATAATTTAATACATATAATACAGTCGAATACAAAATTTATAAACGATAACGAATTTACAACAATTTATTTACCTCAATCCAACCATATTGGAATGATTGTCTTGTCCAAGACCGATTAAGTCGCACAGATATTTTATGTTGTTCGGATTGTTGAAGCCAGTACTATTCTCCAACAGCGTTTCATAACTCTGGCCTTTGTTGTCCATCGCTTTCCTACACCACATAGAAAAAAAAAAAAACCTGGTTATCGAACGTTGCAAGAGATCTTTGAGACCTTTGCCAAAGAAGAGGAAACCGAAGCTACTTCATTAACGGTAAAACCAAAGACTTGATAATCATGACAACCGAATCCTCATAGTCGTGTCAATAGATATAAATGTCTGTCAGGCAATAAAAATACGTCTCCGTCGTTCTCCGATATTTCATCATAGTATAGGTTTTCTCTTTCTCACATGTGCACATATATATTTATGTATGCAATTTGTTGCATATTTTTTTTTTTTTTTTTTTTTTGCCCGTGTACATATACGATGTAAATTGTTATTATTTATTCCTGCCCGACAACGTAGATTTCTTCACTTCGATCTGCATGTATTATTCAGTGACACGATACTAATGCCAAAAGTGCTTAGTGTTAGTTCCGTCGTTCCTCAATCGTATGATATACGTAAATCGTTACGCAACTTCTGGTATTAGAGTCGTTTCAAAATCCACGTTTAAACCGTTAAGAAGCAGCATGGGTCCGAAACAGGGATGCGGTGCAGAAGGTTAAGATTCCTTTATTATACCAGATATATAAAAAGTCGCATAGTTATAAGTCACATTGGTACACAACCTCAGTATTATGTAAACTCGTCTCTCACCTTTCTCGTACCCGCTAAGACGTATATTTCTAGTATTTTGTATCACATTTGTAATTGAAGGATTTTTTTCTCGACACAAAAGCTCACGGTCTATTATCAATCAGTGGTGTGTTTCGATTTTTTTTTTTTTTATATAAATTATTTTGGTGCGATAAAATAAATTGCATAGCCCTAGAAATGGTTGGGAGCCACGCCTGATTGTACATTATCTTCCAAGGCTGACCAAAAAAAGTTTTTTTTTTAGATGTAGTTTTTTCGTCTGTTTGTGATGTCATTTTTTTTTATCAACATGACATCACTTTTTTTTTATTTTTCAATATAAGCTGTAAGTTTAAACATTAAGGCATTATTATGACAAGGCGCGATTCTTTTGAGGCTTAAAGGTATAAAAGGTTTCGGGCAAATAAGATTCGAGTTGTTTGGTCTCTGCTTCGTATCATTTTTCACACGTTATTACACATTTACTTGAGAATCCGACTTACCTTTCTGAAAATCAAAATATGATTGTGCACGTGTGGAACTATGGAATATCTCTTTTTTTTTAAGTGTGATGTATATAAAATAATTTATAACAAAATTACATTAATACACACTGAAGATAATTGTACACAGAGTTTCGAGAGTTAGAACATAGGTAAGAGACCAAACAACTTTAAATCAATGTTATACCTACCGTCTAAACTCACACTTTCTGGTCACTCAAGACAGAACGTCTCTGGAAATGACAACCTCAAAAGTCATTTGCGCCATAGTCTGGCTGGTGCTTTGAGAATAACATATCACAAACGTAGATAGAATATGTGCGCAACTGAGCCATGTCAACCAATGCTCAAGGTTTGAATTCATTTGTTTTTCACATTAGAAATTCATCATCATATTGAATATCAACTTTTACGTTACATAGAGTATCTGGCACCTAAATTCATAAAAACGTGTAAGAGGAATCAAATCTAATTTACCTACTTTTGTTAGTATTTTAGAATGCTTCTCTGTTAATGCTCAGCTTTCCTTTCCCGCCATATTGTACATATCATCATAAATCTTACCTTTATTTGATTAAAAGTGAAAAAAAATAGAAATAACGAAAAAAGTATATGCACAACAATAAAATCCTACTGCATTATCAAAAAATATAGAGAAAATGTACAAGTAGAGGAAAATTGTCAAGATATTGACTTCAGATCCAAATCGACAAAAGTTTAACTTCTCTGAATGCAAGTGCTCTTATGCAATGCAAAACAAAAGTGCGACATCACAAAAAACGCTTTCTCATCGCGTTTAGCACGCGTGTCATTAAAATACCTCCTGATAATGTATGGTAATGTATACAGAACTTATACAAGAGTTAGTAAAAGCGTATTAGAAACTGAACTGACTTTTGCGCGACTACACTTAGTTATTAATTGCTCTGTTAACTTACTTGTAAGCCTCTGGAAGATCATCGGAATGAATAAGTCCCATAGGTGGGTGTGGCGCTTGCCCTTCCCGAGCAGGTATGTTCATAACAGCAACAACTCGCTCAGCTTCAACGTTAACTTCACTGACTACGACGCAGACGAGATCATTTGCCATGTAGCCCCTTGTTACACCTTTCTTGTCCACCGCAGGCACAGTGGCCGTATTTAATATTAGTGCCTATTACACACAAATGAATACTTATAAACTCGATAATCAAGTTAGTAAGTACGACTTCAAATGTTCTTTTAAAAACTTATTTAATCAAGATTAAATAACTGTTAATAGATCCGTTAAGAGAATATTTAATAAATAACGAATTTTACCTTAACTCCTAATTCAGTAACAATTCTGGGACAATCACTGCAGTTGCAAAGCACCTTCAGAAGCAGACCAGCTGAGCTTTTACCCATTACTTGCGCGAAAAGTACATCTCCAAGTACCAAACTCTAGAAATAAATTATAAATAAATTTACAAAAATCAAATTCAAATCTTGCGCGAACATTTTGCTTCCTTATATTGTATCAGTTTTTATAAATCATTCCGTACCTCCAAAAAATTGCGAATGCGCTGAGACTTCTCCATGGTGACAAAAGTATCAATTGCTGGCACTGTAGCATAAAATTCTAGACATACAAAATAAAATAATCATTATTGAATAGTATGTTGCATTTGAACAAATAAAAACCATTTCAGAAAAATGTTACCACCTTCATCAATCGCCTCTTGCTTAATGCATTCTGCAGCTTTCTCCAAGTTTGCTTTATCATAGAGGGTGTCAGCTTTTTTAGCAAGGAACTGTTGAAGCTTCAGACGTTTTCCTCTATCTCCAAAGCTATATGAAAGAAATGTAAAAAATTTGATTTAAATAAAATGCAAATAAACAACCTGCAGTGTGAATCCAGATTATTATTATTATACAGTTACACATATGTACCTGAGAGTTTTTTGTCGCTGTTGATAGATATCGAAACTAGGTTCCTTAAGATTGAGCATAGCCAGTTCACTTTCGGCGCGTTCTCCCTCCCATACTTTCTGCAACTGCTGGCCATGGTAGTTCAACGCTTGCCCCACGAGACGGGGGTCCATATTTTCCATTTTTGTTCAGCCGAAAGACCTAATCTGCAAGACTATCAAAATTAAGTTCCAATTATTTCTTCATTTTTTTGAAAAACATTCACGAATATATATCCAGGATTACGGAAACATATAGATGTTTCTAATTAGTTCCTCATGCATAAAAAAAGCCTTTTGAACGCATAGAGCATCCAATGTCCAAGAACACGTGATGAGCGTTATTCCTTCGTCCAGGAAACTCGTTAAAAATATGCTCATTTACACGCCTCAGTTTCATTTATTATCGCGTGCCCACCCGATTGTCCGGCGACGTTGCATCAAATCATCAATAGATAGCAGCATTCTGTGCATCGTCGCGCTATATCAGGGACAAAGAGCGGACCGCATCGGTGAAACCTTGTGCGCGACGAGTTTCGTCGGCGTGGCCGTAATGAGAAATTCTCAGTTGTTTCGTAACAACGCTCGCGTAGGCGGGAAGCGCCGCGCTATATTGATTTATCGATCGCAGTACGGTCGTTGCGGCAAGGCCCGTGTACTGCGAAGGGCATCGCCGCCATGACGCTCTCCGCCAGAATGGCCACCTTCTTTTTCTCAAAACGCTCATATCTCGCCAGCGGAACAGGAGCATCCGCGGATCCGTAATTTTAACAAGAGAACAACTTACCACTCGGCCGGGATATTACGTTCCGCAGAGATCTGGCAATGCAAATTCAGAAAGAATCACGTTGCACTACGTAACATCGTCGGGAACGAACAAATGCTTGCGCGAATCACGCCACCATCCCAGCGTACTGCGAAGTGAGTCACGATTCTAACGAAGCGGAAACTCGAAATGATCGCGCAGCGCCAGCGCGTGCGCAACGCGCAACGAATCCTTCTTTCCTTTATCGAACGCCACTCACAGGAACACGTCGATACAGCGAGATTTTCGGCGGGCTGTATAAAAAAGTAATACTATCTTAACTAGAAAATATATAACGCAATCAAACTTCTGACAAAATTGAAGCACATTTCAATACGAATGACTCAAAATCTAGTTAAATAAATAAATGTTAAGGCATTCACATATTGACTGGTGTAAACATATTCAATATTTTAGATTTCTGCATAAAACTAGTGACAGCTTTTGTCGCAAATGTATCAATTTGTTGATTGCTATTCTAAGTGGAAGTGAGTTGGAATTGAGGTCATGAATTTCATACATAATTCAATGTGAATTGGTTCCTTAGACAACAGTATATATTAATTAACTTGCTAGTACAAGTAACAAAGAAGGCATATAAAATATGATTTACCTGTCCTTGATATGTTCTAAAAAATAATATGATATGTGTGTTATGTATCATATAAATAAGTTTAACAAGTGTGTAAGTAAGGCAGTTAACAATAATTTTCCCCTTTCAAAAGAGGAGACTTGGACTCCCGAATTGTATTTATTGCGCAGACATTTAACATATTTCATAGTATATTGTCTTCTTGCAAAATATGTTTAGATGATAAAACGAAATGTGTATACAATATTATTTTTCATATAACATTTCATCAGGCTACACAAAATGATATTGTGTGACTCCGTCTTACTTCTACAATACAGTAATAATATTGTCCTCGAAACTGTGTGTTCTTTAATATATTCCACTTCCAAAGATATATTTTCTAATAATAATAAGTGCCATTACCCAAGCATTTAATTGCTCTACCACGTTATTCTAGCTCAGTGATTCTCAAACTTTATTGGCATTGTAAAGCATAAAAACTTTTCTGGAGCACGCTTTATAACATGAAAATATATGTTGTATATAACATATTGTATAAAATATGAATAGAAATAAAACTTTATAAAAATAATATTTAAGTGTACAAAATTTATATTTATATTTAATTGAGTAACAAATATTTTATATACAAGTAAGTTTCTTCTTACATTTGTAACTTCGATAATACTTCGATAATATTTGTGACGCTGTTTGAGAATCACCACTCTAGCTTGAGATATCATCCCTACAAGATTTTATGTATCCAAGCGTTATTAAATATACAAATTACATCAATGGCTCATATAAATTATAGCTCGCACATTGTGTATATAAATTTGTTTTCTCTTTTGATCTCTATTTCTTCTTCTTGATTGTCTTTTCTTGTTGCACATTCCAATAATAAAGTAGTTGCAATACTATCACAGCATTTGCCACTGTGGAACACGTGTACATTATTATCATGGATGCATCACCGGTCTCCTGAATGGAAGTAAAGATTCTCGCAAGAGATCCGAAGAAGAGCAAGAAGCACGTTATTGCCGATAACTGGCCAGTATTTCCATTGGAATAATTCGTATAAGCTTGTATAAACTGTAATCATACATATATATATATATATATCGATGTGCGCGCAAACACACATACATGTGTATATATATATTAAATTACTTACCTTACTAACAAGAATAATAGGTATATTCATTGCTTGACATGTCCAAAGAACATGAATAGGTGTTAATCCACTATTAGCTGCAAAAATCACAGCCAGATAGGCAGAAAGAAATGCAGTTGCTTTGGTTGTTTCGCCATTATAATGCATTACTAGAACAGCAATAGCCACAGTTTGAAACCCTAAAAATACTCCATCTCCCCAGGCACTAAAATTTTTATACAATCAATATTATATGTCAACTAAATTTGTAACAAGAAAACAAAGATTTGGCCTCTGTTATGAATTCTTAAAAACAAGTTGTTCTACTCACCTAAATGGAAATCCATTCATAAAACTATATGATGACATTGCAGTAATGGCAAACAAATCCAATAACACGCTGAAGACATTGATTCCTTCACCACTTTTGCTCTTTATAATTTTTACAATTTGAGGTACTTTTACTGAACACAAAATCAACAACTATACTTAGAAAACATATGTACAGAATATACATTTGAGTTGTATACATTTTAAAACAGATAAAGTGGATCTCAAGTTTACAAATATAGTTGTGCTAATAACAATTGTACTAACCTAGAAAAGAACCGGCAATGATGCCGAGTCCTAAACCTTTGCTCAATGTGGCTTTGAAACATTCACCTGAAATATTATTAAAGAAATTTGGCTTTATTTCCAAAATATATTTATAAAATCTGACTTTATTTCCACGTTATATTTATAGAAAAATCCTTTTTACTTTTACATTAACAACAGGTTATAATATATATATATATATATACTTTTCACATTATAAAAATACTAAAAATTGACATAAATGTTCTGATAAATATAAAGCAACATGGAAAGCAAATGATTTTTAATCTTTGAGAATAGTAACATTTGATATTTTAACCATTAAAAGTGATAACTTGTGAATAAAATGTTCCTTTTTATTTACAGAAAATTCAAGATAAAACTGCATTATCGCTATCGAAGAAATCTTACCATGAAGAAAATTAAATTTCTCGAAATACTCCTTCATGCATTTTTCAGTAAATAATAACGACGCTGCTTTTCTGATTATTTGCTGAATCATTTTTGCGACTGGCACATTCGTTGACTCGTCCGCTAATAACTGTTATCTCGGTTTCTTCATGAAAAGACGTTGCACTTTACAAGTCGTTCATTAACAATGAAAAAAATTCCTAAGTTCTCTTATCTCTGTAACGGCATTTCTCATGTTTTTGAATGTCTGAATAGGTACATTTATGCTTCAAACGTCACTGAAATCATGATGTAAGAGGTTTGTTCTTTTTCTGTGTTTTCGGGACAGCATTACTCCTGGACTTACATATATAGAACAAGTGCAAGATTTTACACACGAGTGTATAAAGAACATCATCGTGCAACAATCATAGCGGATTGTATATATATATAGCATATGTTTGTCATGTAGAATACGTACACAATATCATGCACAATATAACGTACACAAGCAGAATACGCGAGGAATGCACGATCGATAAGTGATAACAGCTGATAACGTAATTGATAACTGCTGGTGATGCCGATGTTACGTAAACATCATGATAATCTATCGTGGAAGTATCGAAAACTTTGATACATTAAATATGTTCCTTCAGGGCGTGTCTTAGGAGGTTATCAGCTGGAATCGTGGACTCTTCGACTTAGATCAAACCGGAAACACGCGAAAAAACTTAAGCAGTAAGACTAAAGGTGATACACAAAAGAACTTAAGCAGTAAAACATAAACAATAAACAAATCAGCCAATCACAAGTCAACATTGATTTGCTTAAGCTCAATTGCATTTGCAGACAGAACGCGACAACGACGTTACACCTGACAACAACGCGATAGTCAATCAGCATTTTGTTCTTATGGAAAAGCGGCACATTAATTGGTTATTACCTCTTGCTTTTTATTCCCGGCACGTTTGTAAGAGCTCTTGATCTCACTGCTTAAGTTTGTTTTTGTATGTCCTGGCTTCATTCTTTTTGATTTTTGTAGTATAATAGCGGCAAAAAAGTATAATTTGCAGAAATAATTCAGAACAATCAATAATTCTACTTTAGAACACTTAATTATCTTTATTTTGTAGGTTTTTTCAAAGCGTAATGAGACATGCAGGCTGCATCATCAACTGGAGTGATTGGATGTATTGGGAAATGCATGAGTGGTTTGACAGTTGAAGAGCTAGATAAAATAACAGATAACGTAAACAAGACTTTGTCTCATCCAAAAGGCAGACAGATTTTGGCAAAGTATCTTGAACAAAACAATCTTAAAAGTGGTTTGGATTGTTTGGACTTATACAATGTCTGTTCAGATTTTCTTGCTAAGGCTCAATCGTAAGTCCATCACAACATATAATCATATCCACATTTTTTATTCATGTACGAAATTATGACTTTTAAATATTTTTGTAAGCGTCAATATTTATCTATATATATATATATATATATATATTACAAAATATAATTTACAATTAAGGGAACGTTATGTGGACTCATTAACTGAAGATGTAACAACACTGATGGATATGGTTGATTCTGTAAATGGAGTTGAGCAACTAGATATAGTACTTCTACGGCAGTTTGATGAGGCTTTAACTAACGGAAGTAGAGAGGAATTGCTTGCTGTAATAGAAGAAACAAGAAGTAGAGTGCGAGATTATTTAAGAGGTTTACATGAAGATTTTAAACGATATGCATCAGAACCATGTCCGTTGACAAAATGCGTTTTGTAAATTTGGTGACAAATAATTATCTGATATGCCTGGTGAGATAATCTATAAAATCCTACAAAAGTTTTTGATCATTTATAAGATGTTCTACATTTGGTTTTTTCAAATTTTGGAAAAAGGATTTAGTGCATTCACCAGAGTACAAGGGGTTAAGGCTATTTCTTTTAGATTTAATATATTCTGTATCTATACAGTATTTATACTGTAAGGTCTGTGATGTACATTTTTATTTTCATGTCTTATTTATACCCATTTTACACATGATTTATCCAGTACCTCAAAGCTGTAAGATAATTGTACTTAAAGATAAAATTGTTATAGAACTGTACAAAGATAAAATATTACACAACTTCAGCAACAAATAGTACACCAAAGTCAGATGAAACTGTTATAAACAACTGTTTTTCATTTTTATACAAAATACACTTCTATAAATAGAAGCACTAAGTCTAGCAAACATGCTCTATATAGTTTAGTTTGTGTGATGTCGATCCGCTATTTGAAAGAGTATGTAAAAAAACATAAAAACTATAGAGTGGTTTAGTATTCAAGTAAGTTTTATACATTCAGCACCAACACATTTATTTAGAAATGCATTTTTTTGTTATAATATTTTTCGTCTGCGCATAATGGACAAAGTAGAAAAAGATGTGCGCGCGCAGAAAAGGACAGAGATTTCCTCCTGTGTTTTGTTTCTTGTCAAATTCAAACAAATACAACAAAATATATAATGCTGGATATAGTTGTATATCAGTCTATTTATAATTTATGTATGTAAAGGTCTGTGACATCAATAAAACAACATCCGTTAACGAGATCGAATCGTATTCCATTTTCTGATCACCGACAAATGTCAACGGTCATGTGTGCGAAACATTCCCGAGAGAAATATGTTGACACGCTGAATAAAATACGTGATACCATCGAAAAATTAGATAAAAGTTTGAAGTATTCGCAAGACTTAGAAGCTGTCAGATTTCTGCGATATTCCACCTTGAAGTCTCGTACTGCAATTTTGACGGATGATTTGAGAAAGGCTAAAACACAAAACAAACAGATGTTGAGTGAGCAAACAAATTTGTAAAATAAGATATCAATACTTTGTAGATAATAACTGTCACTCAATTTCGCGAATTGATTCTTTGATCTTTAGATTTATTTCGCCAAAGCGTGACGGATGTTCAACTTGATTCTGTCGATATATTGCCGGAAACTCTAAAACGACATGTACAGAGAACGTGGCATCAAAAGTAACTATTTTATTTAACTCACGACGAATTTTGAATTCAATAGATCTACTTGAAAATTCGCAGAACAAAGATTATTATTTTGCTCAGCAATTGTATTTTTTTTTTTGTGACTACCAGGTATGACGCTTTACTAATGCAAAATAAACAATTGAAAAAAAAAATTATCATAATGGATTATATGATAAAAGGAAAACAACAAGAGGTATAATTGAGCAAGCATAATAGAAGAATATGGCGGAAGTAAATTTATGCAAATTTAAGCAAATCCAAGTGGATATATAAAACGGTTTTTTTTCGTTTATATAAATTACTCGTTCGTTTAAATAGATATTTATTAATCTACGAGCAAAACTACGTTTGACTATAAGATTTATTAAGTCTATTGATATTTTGTCAATGGCGAGCGTGTGGTTGTAAAAAGATATGTTAGATATTGTCGTTTTCGTTGACATCAAAATCGTAGCAGATCTGTATATTGTATACATAAGAGATAGACCTGTTCTGCAGAATTTAATGTCAATTATTCACCTGAATTTTGAATCAGATTAAAAATCAGATTTTACATCTTTTTCTGTCACTATTTTGACGACTAAATTTTTCGTGAATATTCAACGACATCTTTAGAACGACAAAATAAAGTAAGAAAATTTTTTGTACGATAAATTTAGGTATTAAGCAAAAGTGCATTTATATAAAAACAGATATAAAAATAGAATTTACTTAAAATATACCAAAAAAAAAAAGAAAAAAAATAAGGAAACACTTCGCGACATTGTTCAAAAGTTCACTTCATGCATTGCTCATTGTCACTATTACTGATTTTTTCCTACTCGGAAAAAAGTTATTTATTACATAAATGTCATAAGTCAAATCATGTAAATTGCATGCACTTCACTCAGATTGATCTTGAAACTCTTTCTTTCTCTAACTTATCTTCTTAAAACCTGCTCGTATATGTATGTTATCTGACAGCAGGCATTTGAACATGCACACAATTTGGTCGCACGACGACTGCTTTTCTGAATCGTACATTTTTTACTTCGAAATTTTATCGTCGTATATCTCGAAAAATCAAAAACCCAAACAACAAAAACACAAGAATACTTTTTTTATAATTTTTTCTACGTGAATCGAACGAGACTAAAAAAAAGTCGATTGTTCAGTCGTTATTAAAAAATGGCGATTAAAAATCTCCCCTCCATTGAAATGCCTAATTTTCGTGTATAAGAAACACAGTGTGCTCGCACAGTTCGAGCGCCACTTCGTGCGCGTGAAATTGGCGCGAGGACAACTGGGTTGGCATTAACTGTATTGACGTACGCAGACAAATTAACTTTGTNTTTAGCAGTTGATAAAGCAATAATTGGAGATATGATATTAATCAGAGAGATAATAGAAGAGACTGTACGTGAAATAAATTCTGCGTATGATAGTCTTGCATAACTATTTTAGTATCAGATCGGCAGTATGAGACTGTTCATTGGAGAAAACTCGTAATAAAGACAGATATAATAAATAGTTTANTTTAATTCTCGATTATAGTTTAAAGTGTAACTTATATAAGGTAAAGATTTGTACTTCACAGTAAAACAATTTGTATATTATTTTTACGTAAGTCGTAGTTGCGTTTAAATTAGAAGTGTGCATTTTATAGGTATGGTATAAAAAGTAAACATTTATGATGTGGACATATTCTATATTTGGTGCGCTAGTGATGTATATATGTATTACAGTAAAAACATAACATTTTGTAAATATATTTACTTACTAGTCAATGTATTCATTAACATATGATTTTAATAAAAGCTCCTACTTAAATATAAAAGTACTATTCCTAAAATAAATATATGTATTCAGATAATGCGTATAATTGTACCACACGACACATTAGTAAAAATAATATCACGATAAACTTACTAATGCTTAAATGAACTGAACAATTTGTCTATTACACTATTTGTAAAGAAATTTTAAAAAATGACTGAAATAATAACTAAATAATAACTATTATAAGACTCTCTCTTATTCCAACTTACAGCATAATAGGATTTAGCAATGTAAAATACAAACAAAACTTCATATTCTGAATCATCCTGTAAGCAACGTGACGGTTTAGATACGTTTTAGATACAAACAAGTATTATGTGTCATTGTTATCTTTCCATTTAACTTACTTGTAAAACAAAAGAAAATTTAAACATATCTCGTAGATTAAAACCACCCTTATATGTAATATATAAAAAATTAATATATAAGTATGTATTAAAATTTATATTTTTAGAAGTACAACCGCAGTACCCTTATGTGTGATTACTTACGACGGCAAATTAAATCTGTCTGTGGTGATTGATAAAGAAATAATAAGAAATATGAAACTAATCCGAGAAATAATAAAAGACACTGTACGTGAAATAAACTCTGCGTATAATTTTCGAAGTCATCAGACAATTCAGTAAAACTGAAAAGAAAAGAGAATATACTAAAAATGTCAAGTAATTCTTGATTATTCTTCTTCCATTTTTGGTATGTCTGACAAATACAATATTTTTTATTAGTACATGAGTTGTGTATGCGTGCATACTATAACATAATTTTACTAATGTAGGCATTGAAATGTTTTAAAACGTAAAGTTCGAATTGAAAAATAAATAAAATATATTGTTACTAATAAATTTAATATTGATTTATCCAATTCCGTTTTACGTCTTCGTTTTTTACATTATCCTGTATCTCCTTACGTTGTGCAAAACCTAAAACTAAGTTAAAAAAGAAAGATATCGAGCAAAAATTACTAATTTCTCGATTTTCTCAACAATTTTTGCCTCCGCCAGAGTAATATATTATTGTTTTGTGGGTTTTGTAAGGCACGACGCTATGATATTACAAAACCGAACAATTAAAAAAACAAATTATTATGATAAATTACACAATAAAAACAAAACAAAAAAAACAACATAAAAATAAATAATTCAGCAAAACAAATATGCTAGCAATAAATCTATGCAAAGCAAAAAACATCAAATGTGAACGGTTTTTTACCGAAAAAAAAAAAACTTTCGTATCTATATATCAAAGCAGTTTCTCTCTCTGTTGTTAGTAATATTCTTACCGAGCTGTTGTCCGTATCGAGCAAACTCAGTTTTTTTCGTAACAAAATACAAAGTAACGAATTACAAAGTAACTGTAAAAAATAAGTGTGACGTAAGCTGCGTTAAATATTGAAACCATAAAAACTGTATAGTATTTGATTTTTACACTTAACGTCAAACAACTTAAACTCGATAGCAAAATGCAATCTATAATGTTAAGTGAAACTTTTCAAATAATACTGCGGAAATTATTAGGAATTACTTGTTTCTTATTATTTGGTCCGTTTCTCGTCATCATACTAATGTTTTTATACATCTATCGTTGTTCGATTGAAATTATCTTAAAAATTCAACTTAAAGACAAATTTGCCGGTATATTAGAAGGTTCAGACGCTTTCTGGTCTATCGAAGACGTTTCGCTATCTATGGTCACTGTCGTGATACTTTTGAAAAAACCCGCAGGAAGTACAAATACAATCTTTTTGAAGAATGTTAGAAACTTCTTTAGTCACCTTTCGAAAACTATCCCCACAGAGCTCAAAAAACTGTTCTACTATAGATATCAGAAGTATGGGTACTTTTATTGGGATAAATCACACAAATTTAATCCAGAAACCGCGATCCGATGGCTGGAGTGCGAAAATAATACTTGCGATGGATCCTGTGAGAATCTTTACAGCACAACTTTTCAAGAAAACTTAAGTTCTATATGCAACAGACCGTTGTATGACAATCACAAACCAATGTGGGAGATGCTCGTTGGCAGACGCTGTCCTAAATCTTCATCTTCCATCGAAGAGGATCCGAGCTTGTCTCTCGAAGATCGTTTCAATACTGATATCGATGAAATACCAATAGTATTTCGTTATCATCATTCTCTTGGTGATGGTGTAGCTTTTTCCAACCTGTTTAACAAAGTAATTTTTGACGACGGCGTGATAAAGGAACATTCGTCAATAATGAACTTCAAGAACGACATTTCGACAGCCAAAGAACATCATTTTATAGAAAAACGAAGAACTTCCCTAAAAAGAAAAATTATTACAAACTTGAAAGAAGTATATACCAAAATTAAAAAAATCACAAAAACTATAATAAGTATATTCTTTGCATTTGAAATCTACATGTCTCAACTTGTTCGTAGTGCCGATAAAAGGTACGACAATATTTTTATTTATTTACGAAACATCTCTTTTAACATAGCAAACGTTATAATAAAGGAAATCGATGTCTCTTTACATTAATGACATGCAAATTATTGTGTATGTGTAAGAATTGTCTATTTAAATATACGTAAATTTCCAAAATTTCCACGTTTATTATTTTACATGGTTAAAAAAAAATTAACATGTACAAAACTGCACGTGTGACATATTAGCTCGTATACTCTTTACTACTCACAAGTCACTACTTGTCAGTTGTACATTTTCACAAAATTTTTAATTGTATAACTATCTAAATTGTTTATTTGTGATATCTGTCGTGATACGTATTTAGATAAGACATTTCAAGCTATGTGTCATCACTACCTGATTTTTACAGTGTTCTGCGTGGCCAGCCTTTAACAGGTGAAAAACTATTGTTTTCCTATATGGAAAACGATGCGAATAACTCGCAGCTTTTTATGAAAATTAGAAAAATAAAACATTGTACAGGAGCAAACTTTAATGACATAATACTTACAGCGTTTGCTGGCGGTCTAATTAAATTTTATTCACGCGTAAGTAGACTTAAATAATAAGTGCTTTAATTTACTCACTAAGAGCTGAAGTTGGAAATAAATGACACTTGAAAAATAAATGCGTTCTGATATTCACTGCCACTCCAAATCTATAACTTTACGTCACAGGCGCTAGAAATTTTTAATACTAGCAGTAAATTTTAAAACGTAACATTTTATGATTTTTTTCTGTATTCTCTCTTCTTTCTATTTTCTGAAAATGTTGTACACGAACATAACGAAACAAATATGTTCTTCTTGCAGATACAAGAAATAATACCTGACTCAGTGTCGGTCGTCATTCCAACTAGAATGTCTGCGCCTGATGAAAAACTATTGCTGACCAATAAGTTTTCGTCGCTTTCCATCAAATGTTGTTTTATTGACGGAGACAAAAGAGATATATCAACATTAAACAAAAGCTCTCGATTTTTTGAACGTCTCCAGAAAACTGCATCAATAAATAACAGAATTAGAAATAGTTTTGAAGCACCGATAAATTTTTTCCTCATGAATCATGTATACGGACTTTTGCCAACAAGAGTTTTGAGGCTTTTTTCTGCATATTTTTGTATAATGGCATATAGTAATTTAAAAGGATCGCAAAGCAAAGTTCATATTTTAAAGCATCCTATGAGCAACGTGATGTTGTCCATACCACACAAGTATTGTATATTATTATTCGTGGATCTTGACGTACTCGTAAAAATGAAGAAAAATTAACCAATGATTAAATATTAAAACAATTCACATATTATGATTTACATTTTCAGAAGTACAACTGGATTGGCATTAACTCTAATATCGTACGCAGACAAATTAACTTTGTGTTTAGCAGTTGATAAAGCAATAATTGGAGATATGATATTAATCAGAGAGATAATAGAAGAGACTGTACGTGAAATAAATTCTGCGTATGATAGTC